GTTGGGAAGGGGATCGGGAGGGGGGCAGTGGGTGAGGGGACCAGGGGAGGGGATTGGGGGGCATGTGGGGCGGTGAGGGGAGGATTGGGGGGGCAGTGGGGGTGAGGGGACCAGAGGAGGGGCTGTGGGGGGGTGAGGGGAGGATCGGGATGGGATTGGGGAGGGGATCAGGACGGGGGCTGAGGGGGGACCAGGGGAGGGGGTGGGGGTGCTGGGGGGGCTGAGGGGATGATCGGGAGTGGGTTGGGGAGGGGATCAGGAGGGGGGGCAGTGGGAGAGGGGACCAGGGGAGGGGATTGGGGGAGCTGTGGGGAGGAACGGGGGGGGGCAGTGGGAGGAGGGGAGGTCTCTGCGCTGCGGCGCCGGGACCGACCCCCCCATTCCTCCCCCCCCAGGGCGCGGCGGGCGGGGAGTCCCCCATGTTCCTGAAGGCGTCAGAGGCCCGGTTGACGCTGGGGCAGCTGCGCCGTGGGGCATCCTATGGGGTGCAGGTCCGTGCCCGCTCCGAGGCCGGCTACGGGGAATTCGGGCCAGAGTTCCTTGTCCCCATGCATGGCAGTGGTGAGTGACCCCCCTCAGCCCCCCCGACCCCTGCCCCCCTCGGGCCTGAAGCCCCCCCGGAGCGTCAGGTTCCAACGGGCGACGATGCTCCCGCCGGCCCCACGAACGCAGCCCCGGGGCCAGGTTCAGACGGTGCCTGGTTGCTCGAGGAGGGAGGTTGCACGAGGAGGGAGCTTGCACAAGGAGGAAGGTTGCACATGGATGCCAGGTTGCACAAGGAGGATGGTTGAACGGGGGTGCCAGGTTGCATGAGGAGGGAGGTTGCACGGGGGTGTCAGGTTTCACGAGGAGGGAGGTTGCACGAGGAGGGAGGTTGCACGGGGGTTCCAGGTTGCACGAGGAGGGAGGTTGCACCGGGGTGTCAGGTTTCACGAGGAGGGAGGTTGCATGTGGGTGCCCAGGTTGGACGAGGAGGGAAGTTGCACAAGGAAGATTGCCCAGGGGTGCCAGGTTGCACAAGGAGGATGATTGCACGGGGTGCCAGGTTGCACGAGGAGGATGGTTGCATGGGGGTGCCAGGTTGCACGAGGAGGATGTTCCACGAGGAGGGAGGTTGAACGGCGGTGCCAGGTTGCAGGTGGGTGCCAGGTTGCACGAGGAGGATGGTTGCATCGGGGTGCCAAGTTGCACGAGGAGGGAGGTTGCACGGGGTGCCAGGTTGCACGAGGAGGGAGGTTGCACGGGGGTGCCAGGTTTCACAAGGAGGGAGGTTTCACGAGGAGGGAGGTTGCACGTGGGTGCCCGGTTGCACGAGGAGGGAGGTTGCATGGGGGTGCCAGGTTGCACGAGGAGGGAGTTTGCACGGGGTGCCAGGTTGCACGAGGAGGATGGTTGCACGGGGTGCCAGGTTTCACAAGGAGGGAGGTTGCACGGGGGTGCCCGGTTGCACGAGGAGGGAGGTTGCACGGGGGTGCCAGGTTGCACGAGGAGGATGGTTGCACGGGGGTGCCCGGTTGCACGAGGAGGGAGGTTGCACGGGGGTGCCCGGTTGCACGAGGAGGATGGTTGCACGGGGGTGCCAAGGTGTCCGTGACGGCAGGCTGCCGGTAGGGTGGACACACGATTCTCCGCTGCCTGCCGGCGCCCGTGCTCCCCATGTGCCATCTGGGTTCCTAGCACCACCCTGTCCGCCCGCCAGGATCTGCCTCCGCGTCCCAGGGGCTGGCTCCCGTTGCCCCCCGTGGGCAGGTCAGGGCCTGGCGCCCCCCTGTGGCCTGTTCCAGTGCAGCAAGTGGCCTGCCTCAGTTTCCCCTCCCAGGCCCTTTGGCTTCTCAGTGCCCGCCAGGCTGGGCAGTGTCTCTCCCGCTGAGCCAGGCGGGTTGGGGGTGACGCTGGCCTGACCCCCCACCCCAGGGCAGCCCCCTGACGGTGTCTCTCTCCCCAGAGGCGGGGGGCCGGGCGGAGCAGCTGGGGCTGATCGTGGGGGCGGCCGCCGTGGGGGCCCTGCTGGTGCTGGCGGTGGTGGCAGTGGCTGTGATCTGCGTGAGGTGAGACCCCCTCCCCCGGGGTTGAGGGTGGGCACTTGGGGGGCAGGGAGGGGCCGGGGGGGTGGAGAGATGGGGCTGGGCTGGGTCCAGCCACGTTCTCCCCAGAGGGGATTCCGGGGGGGTCTCTTGGCTGCCCCCCCGACTCTTTCTCCCTCCCCCGGCAGGAAGCACGGGGCGGGGGGCCGCGACCCTGAATACTCGGACAAACACGGCCAGTACCTCATTGGGCATGGTG